AGTTAAATTTAAATTTCAGATAAATAACAAATAATTTTTTACTATAAGTATGTTCCAAATGGCACATGGGAAATACTTATTGTTTATCTGAAATTTAAATTTAACTGGATGTCTTGTATTTTTATTTGCTAAGTCTGGCAGTCCTAGCTTATAGGGTGCTAGGTAGGTAGTGCTAAGCAAGACCCACTGAACCTGGATTTCATGTTTTTTACTATTGCATATTTTGGTGACTTGAGCAAGACGATAGTGATCCTTGGTAAAATAACCTAGTGGACATGTTGTTTTTCACTATTTTATTTTAAAACAAAGAGTACTGATTCCTTCCTCTTCTGCCTCTCCCCCAAGTAAAAATAACTAACTCCTTTTCACAATACAGAAAAATAGTTATCTACATATCTGCATGTATGGTGTCTGTTATGTATCATTTGGCAAAAAAAAAAAACACTCAGGAAGTTACTATCATAAATTAGCAAATATTGAATCTATGTTGTTGGTACGATATTTTTACACAAATAATGTGCACCTTCTATGTTTGTTTGCCAGCCGTGCCCTCCCCCCATGACGTATTTTCGTAAGCACACTATGCTAATTTTTTTTACAGCAACTTGAAAAAAATTGGCATAGTGGCGCTTACGAAAATACTTTGTGTGGGGAGGGCACGGTTGGCAAACAAATGTAGAAGACATGCATTATTTGCATAAAAATATGGTAGTTGCTGTCAAGTCACTTTTGACTCATGGTGACCACGTGTGCAGAGTAGAACTGCTGCATAGAGTTTTCAAGGCTGTGACCTTTCGGAAACAGATTGCCAGGCCTGTCTTTTGAGGTGCCTCTGGGTGAGTTCAGACTGCCAACATTTTGGCTAATAGACTAGCACTTAACTGTTTGTGCTACCTAGGGACTCCATGTGGAACCCATAATAAAGTTTGTTGAGTTTTATCTTCCTTTGAACCACGTTACAATTACGTAAATAGCACTTTACATGAAGTGCATGTTGTTGAGAAAGACATAAAAATCAACTAAGATATAGATTCTTTTTTTACATTTTTTTAATCAACGTAAAAATATATACAACACTTTTGCCACTTTAACGTTTTTCACGTATTACCAGTCTTTTTGTCTCTGTTTCTTCTTTCATATTACAGTTAGTTGAAGTTTGTCCTCTAGAAGTTTCTTCAAGAAGGATTCATAAGAACAATGTTCCCTGACTGTCAAAAATCCTTTGCTGGTTCCTTTCTTATTGTTATTCATTTCAGTTGAAATGAAGTGAGTAGTTCCTGGACCAACTGTTTGCAGGGAGTTTATGTGAGGGAGAGTTTAGGACTGTGTTCCAGGATCTTGGGAATTTTCAGTTTTGTGAGTAAAATCTTTTAGACTGCTTCTTTCCAGTCAACACAAGCGTTACCGTTGGGATGCTTACACAGCAGAGACTCTCTCTTCCCTGCTGCCTCATCAACAGATTGTGTCCTGCAG